GGACCCTAGGACTAAAAGTCCTTAACACTCGAATATAAATTGGTGGAGTACCCAAGGATTATGTTATCCTCAAAACTCATAGATTATGATATTGAAATATGGACAAGAAGGAGTCCTATACACTCATAGGTATATGGGTGGGTTGGGGTTTTTAGTCAAGAATATTGACTATTACTATTTTCCCAAACAAAACAGTGATCCACGGATCGAGTGTTTTCCAAGTGTATATATACTAATAAGTATTTCTTAACTTGGGGGAAAATGCTATTTATATAAGTATCACCCTATGTTTGGGTCTTATACTTGAAACGCTAGTTATTCTATATTTAGTCTGCTACTCGCTCGGTACTTGTACTGACCCCTTCGGGGCCCCCACCATTTTCAGGTTGAAGCTAGGGCTTGCTACTTGCACCTTCTTACGGGTGATATCAACTCAGGAAGACGTTGTTCGTGCTTCTTTATTTTCTTTCAAACTACCGAACACTTGCTCATGGATATTTGATTTACTACAAAACTATTTGTGGGCTTGCATGCCTATGTTGTTGGCCGGTTGTGACTTATGAATTACCGTTGAATATTTCTGCTATTCATTGGTTTAAATGTGATGTTGTTATGTATGTTTACTACTGAGTATGGATGGATTGTTTTCTCGAACGCCTCGTATGATTGAGTGAGGTTGACTCGCGGGTGACGTCACTTGATTATACGGCGGTTGTACACGCGCTTGGATTGCGGTCTGGGGTGTGACATTAAGTGGATAAAAGCAAAGCCAAGTCTTCGTCTCTATTAAGTAAACCACATAAGTTGTTCATCCTCGTGTTTAATTAATTAAACCAAATCAAACTAAAACCCCCCTTTTTATTACTAGTTCTATAAAAAGAAAAGTATTCATTTCCCTGTGGATACGAACCTTACTTCATTATACTACGTATAGTTGTTGTATTGAATATTGATTTTGAGTGCACACCACGACAAAGTGCACGTCAAATTTGGCGCCGTTGCCGGGGAAAGGCAATTATTTTTCTTTTTATTTTATTTCAAAAAAAATAAAAAATAAAAAAATAAAAAAATATAAATAAACAAAATATAAAGAGTTCTTACTTTTTCTATTTATGAGCTTACATGAGTATATGGTAAAAACACGTTCTATAAACGAACTTACTTACCAAACAAACCCCAAAATAGAACAAGCCTTCAAGATGTTGAGAAATATTCTTCCGCACACACCCTCGGAGGAATCCTCAAACGCTAGCTCTAGTTCTACCAAACATAGTTCTAACGAGACAAGGACCTTAAGAGAGCTCACCGCTCCAAACCTCAATCAACAACCGTTATGTATTACCTTCCCTACACTCAATGAGGGTAATACATTTGAGCTAAAATCTGGGCTCATTCATCTATTGCCATCTTTTCATGGCCTGAGAGGAGAAGACCCGAATAAACATCTTTCGGAGTTCCACATCGTTTGCACAAGCATGTGCCCAAATGGCGTCACCGAAGAACAAATCAAGCTGGGGGCCTTCCCATTCTCTTTGAAGGACACCACGAAGGATTGCGTTTTCTATCTTCCTTCGGGGAGCATCAACACATGGGCACAAATGAAGAAGTGCTTCCTTGAAAGGTACTATCCCGCTTCCATTTCATCATCTCTCAAGAAGCAAATAAGCAACATTGAACAAAAGGATGATGAATCCTTGTATGAATTCAATAAGCTATGTGCTAGCTGCCCCTATCACGGATACACCGAACAAGACCTCATTCTCTACTTCTATAATGGTCTTGTGGATCAAGATCGCCGCATGGTGAATGCAGCGTGTGGAGGGGGCATTGTCAACAAAACCCCTTCTCAAGCAAGAGATCTCATCTCGGAGTTGGCCGAGAACTCTAGACACTACAACGGGCGATCCTCAATTCGTAGAGTTGCCGCTGCGGAATTGACATCATCATTGGAGAGTCAAGTTGTCGGCTTGACTTCTTTGGTTAAGGATTTCCTCTTAAAGTCCAAGACCCACGAAGTCAAGGTCTGCGGCATTTGTACACAACAAGGGCATCCCACTGACTCATGCCAAACTCTTCAGGAAGACATTATAGAGAAAGTCAACGCCTTGGGGTTCCAAGGACATCAACAAAGGAGGTACGACCCATTCTCAAACTCTTACAACCCTGGATTGAGGGACCATCCAAACTTGTGGTATGGAAACCCCCAACAATCCAACCCAGCTTCTCAACCACCTTTCAACAATCAAGGCTCAAACTCTTAATCTAATATGTCAACTGATGACATGATACGAGCTCTGACCTCAAACATGGTTACCATGCAACAAAACATGGGACAATTTCAGCAAACCATGATACAATTCCAACATGAGACAAAGTCAAGCATACAAATTTGGAAACTCAAGTTAGCCAAATTTCAAATGGCGTAAGCCGACTTGAAGCGAAGGACTCGGGTAAACTCCCATCTCAAACAGAGCAAAACTCGAGACAACATGTGAATGCAATCATGTTGAGAAGTGGTACGACATTGAAGGAGGTAAAAATGAATGATCAAAAGGTTGAGGAAGTTGATCATGAAGAAGCTCAATCAGAGGAGGGGATCCCAAAAGCGAAATTCCCTTCACTTTCCTCATATGAACTGGTAGCCTCATTCCCTGAGGCGCTGAGGGAGACAAGGAAGCCGAAAAAAGATGCTGATATCTATGAAACTTTCGCCATGGGTGAGGTAAACATTCCGCCTCCTTAACTTAATGAAGAGTGCCCCCCGTTTTGCTAAATTTTTAAAAGAATTATGCAAAACAAAAAGGCAAAATAAATTAAAAAGGAAACAAGAGGTTAAGGTGAGTGAACGTGTCTCGACTATATTTCAACAGAAACTTCCTGAAAAATGTAGCGATCCGGGCATGTTCACTATTCCTTGCAAGATAAGAAGCACCACATTTTCTAAAGCCTTATTGGATTTAGGGGCATCTATCAATGCTATTCCCTACTCTGTTTATAAATCCCTACAACTTGGCCCACTACATCAAACCGGTGTAGTGATTCAACTAGCAGATCGTTCTAATACTTACCCAAAGGGTGTAATAGAAGATCTGCTAGTAGAAGTAGAAAATATGATTTTTCTTGTTGACTTCTATGTCCTTGAAATGGGGGATGATGACCAAACGACACCCATCCTGTTGGGTAGAACCTTCTTAAAAACCGCAAAAACTAAAATCGACGTATCTAGTGGTTCATTAACTTTAGAGTTCGATGACCAAAAAGTAGAGTTCAATATCTTTGACTCTGCGAAAAAACAAATTAAAGATCAATCTCTTTGTTCTTTAAATGTTTTTGAACCACAAGAACCAATGTTTTTGAAGGAATCTCTTAAAATCCCAATTTTTCAAGGAGAAGAGGAAATTAAGCACGGGGAATCATTTTTAAGGGAGCTATCAAATGGTGAACTAAATCCACCTATGGTTGAGATGATAATGGGAACAGAAGTCCGGTCTTACTGGAAAAGACCGAAGATGAAAAATGAAACGCGGCCAAACAAGGCTGTTAAAAAGGGAAGGGATATTCATGATTCCACATAAAACTGAAAAAGAAAAATAGAAATAAAACGTCGTGCCACGACGTTAAATAAGGCGCTTCTTGGGAGGCAACCCAAGCAAGGTACGTAGATTTTTTTTTTCAAGTTTCATTTTCTGTTTTGAGAGAATGAGAGAGAGGGAACTAACGAAAAAACCCACAAAGATTGGAAAATGTAGGTTTCTCTAGGGACATATCCGATCGAGTATGCACATGCACTCAGTCGGGTATCGCTAAAAAATATGAACCGAGTTCAGTACTCGATCGGAGCAGCAAAAATTTTCAAAAATGCAGGCATACCCGACCGGGTACTATTCCTTACCCGGTCGAGTATTTACAGAAAGACGAAACTAAAAGGAGCCTGCCTCGAACACTCGAACACTCGATCAATTCTTCATCTCTATTAAGTAAGCCACATAAGTTGTTCATCTTCGTGTTTAATTAATTAAACCAAATCAAACTAAAACCCCCCTTTTTGTTACTAGTTCTATAAAAAGAAAAGTATTCATTTCCATGTGGATACGATCATACGAACGCAGGCCCGGTCCTGACATTTTATGGGCCCAGGACAATACATAAAAAGTAGGCCTTGCGAACAACGTGGGAATGTTTATAATTTTTTATAAAAAAAATGTACGTAAAATTAAGTAGTGCAATTGTTACTTGCAATATAGAATTTTGAATTAATGAAAGATGTGAAAGTTATGTCCTTTATGGAGTAATGTTTTCATATTTTAAATCATGTTTTCACTAGATCAGAACAAACTGCAAGATTCTAAATTCTGAATATTATAATTCAGTCTTTCACTTACATGAGAAAGCCAAAAACAATTAGCAAAATCCTATCAATGAATCACGGAATAACATGAGAGAAGTAAATGGAAAGATTGACATTCATGCGCTAACCCTTAATGAATCCAAAGTAATGATGAATTTCATTCCCAATTAATTATGGTGTAAATGTTACAAAACTTTAGACTTGTATCTTGTAAATGTTATTGAATAAAGAATTGAAAGTATCAAAAAAATTATAAGTTTTATTTCATTTTAAATTTTTATAAATAATATAATGTATATAAATTTAAAATACATGTGTGTGTATAGATATATATATATATATATATATATATAATTGGGAAATTTATGGGCCCTAAAGGAGCAATGGGCCCTGGGCTCATGCCCCTTTGCCCATGCCCCAGGACCGGCCCTGTACGAACGTACTTCATTATACTACGTATAATTGTTGTATTGAATATTTATTTTGAGTGCACACTACGACAAAGTGCACATCAAATTTGGCGCCGTTGCCGGGAAAAATGTGCATAAGGTGCTAAAAAATATACGGAGTATTTCACACAGCTGTTATGGTCAAAATTCCATACATGTAGTCCGCCGAACAATGTTGATGACATAAATAAAAGTAATATAAAGTCGACTTTACGCCTCGATTTCCCGTCGTCACACGGGATTATATTTCGAATAATATTGCCGGTCAAAACGCTTATGTATAATTGTGATATTGATTTGTTTCATTCAAGAGTTAAACTAATATATAAAATTTCAAAATGCAATCAAAATACCAACGGTTTAGGTACGATTTATGCATTTTACCCACCTTAGGGAGATATGAATACGTACGTTCAGCTAGAACCATTGCTCCTAGCTCTGGCTAATCTAATGCATGTATCCCACCTAAGCTAGTACCTACTCTCACACTGATGACAAACCTCCATGGTCAGTCACTGGAGGGTCCATTATTGGGCTTCTGTGTGTTCTTGAAGAGGCGAAAATGGAGCAAAAATGGCGTTGTGACCCGGCAGCTGAGCTGAACAATGGTTCCATGAAATGCTTTTTCTGGGGAAGAGATTGCAGGGAAATGCGGCAAACTGGGCATGTGGAGTTGTTTTGCAGCCATATGTCAATACATTCTGGGTGGAAGTAATGTGCACAAGGTGACAATATGCGTAAGCTGTCTTCTCTTTGGTAATCCGCTAAGCAAATTGTGCATCTGGATGCCAACAATAACACTATGTAATCAGTGGATAAAGTGAACTTATTTGCATTTACTGAATATTGAATGGTTCATTGTCAATACATTCTAGGTTCGTTGTATTTCATTTGTTAATTTCCTACTTACGATAAGAACTTAATTAGATTTTCAAGGATGTTTAATTGGAGATTGAACCTAAGTTCTTGTAGATTTTATTTTAGAGCCCGTTTGGTAATATGAAAATCTGCCTGAAGTGACTGCATTGGCTGATTCTGCTTATTTATGAAAAAAATATATTTAAAATAAATTTTATTAATAAAATAAAGAAAAAATTGGATGTAAGAATAGCTAAAATGGTTCTCTACAGTCACATAAGCCAATACAGCCAGAAAAGTAACTTCAACCTTACTTTTTTTATTATTACACAATTAGCTCGTGAAACCCAAAGTTACGTGTTTGGCGAAAAGTTGGCTGATAAACCTAATAAGCCGAAAAACAGGCTTACCAACCTCTTAGTTTCCCTTCGTGTGTTTTCTTTCTTATGATCGACAAAAACACAACTTTATTTTTTGTGTAATATTCTTTTTATATTCATGCACTTTTTCTGAAATATATTTTACATATCCATACCCTATTTTTCTATAATATTTTGTTATATTCATACACTTTTTTTGTAATAATATATTTTTCATATTCATACACTCTTTTTTCTGTAGCATATTTTTATATTTTTATATCTTTTATATGATTTTTTTACACACATTCACAATTTATATTTGATAATACACGAGATTACATTTTTTTTTGAACCCGGTTTAATCCAAAGAACCGTAAAATACACGAGTTACATTTTCTTATGCGTGATTTACTTCTTAATGTGCACGAGTTACATTTTATGGGCGAGTTACATTTTGACTCGCTTCAACAAGTTACATTTTGCATACACACAATTTACAATTTCAAGTTGTCTGAAGTTACATTTTATATACCCGTGATTGACACTGGAGTGAGTAACGCGCGTTACACTCCACTGAACTAGTTACATTTGTCGCTAACTGATTTTACATTTTATAGCAACATATGTTACATTTCAACACACGAGATTTAGGATGTTTTTACTTGGACTGTAATTTGCTGGTCTGGCTTGGTCTGGTCTGATCTGGTCTCTTTATATTTTTATAACTATCCAAGTCTGATCTGGTCTGTTCTAGTTTGATCTGGTTTGGTCTAGTCTGGAACAGATTACAGTTCATGTAAAAACATCCTTACATCATGATTTCGTTTTATGTGAAAGTCTGATGTCGTTTTAGCTTAAACCTAAATAATGTTTTTTACAAGTACACATCAAACAAATTCAATGTTACAAGTTATCACTATTGGCATAATTTAAAAAATCAAGGAAAACCTGATTTATACACATTTTTGTACACAGTTATAAAGATTACACATGCAATTCTTTCTAATAATAAAGACGGAAATTGTCTATATACATTCACTGATTCAATAGAGAGGTGTACACCAACTAACTCAAATACTATCCTCCGTCTCTTTTTAATCGTAACATGTTGAATTTTACACTATTCACATGTTCTACTTTGACTACATTTTATATTATTATTTTATAAAAATTATCATTTAAAAATTATATTGTTCAATTCATCTCATTACAAATTTTCAAAATCTAATTTTTAAATATTTTTTACTAATATGGATTAAGATATAATTACGGTCAAAGATGTGCGTTGACTCGTTGACAAGTGTGAAATGTTGACCGTTGTAACTAAAAAAGAACGGAGGAAGTATAAAATATGGAGTATATTATAGTTTCATTTCAATAGAAGTTGGAATTTTGGATTGACCTCGAAAAGACACTAATTTTAAGATTGACTAATTCTAAATAGTGAGCATCTGTGGGCCCAAATATAAAGATTGTGGGGCCAAATATGAAGAAATTCCATTATTTTAGAAAGGATGATATTCCTTATCTAGAAACGAGGAGTAAGCCGGAAGAATAGCATTAGATTCGAGAAGCAGGATTGACGGAAAAACTAGTCAACTTACTGAGCATCTTGAATGGAGGCAAAAAAAGCATCACTGTATTTCTTCACAGGAAAGCTGCTTATGACTAAAGGATCAAGACCATTACAGCCGCGCCTTATCTGTGAAGTTAAACAATAGGATCAGATTAGATTGACGGAGTCAGAAATGACAAGTTAGGTTTAAGTGATCCAGTTCAGCTGGTCGCCAACTCACCCTCCCTTGGAGATTCCGAGTTTAATACTCAATAGAGTGAATTTGATTCCAGTTTACTGTAGCGCCCAGCTCCCCTCTCGGTAAAAAAAGGAGTCAAAACTCTAAATTTCACTATATATTTTAATTCTTAGAACCATTTATACATATGTATATTTTATATACATCAATAATTTTTCTGGATGAGAAAGCTTAACTAACATAAAATCAAGAGGCTATCAGGAAGAATTAATACAAGCAGCAAAGTGTGAAAAGCTTACAATGATATGATCAGAGGGATTGTAGTATTGAAGAATCCTAGCACAGATAAGCCTGGCGCAGACATATACTATGAACATGGAACTAAGTGCAAACCCGATCGCTGTCATCACTAAATTGATCTCAGACGACGCCATTCTCATGGATTCTCCAGCAGAAAAGATCACTTCTCTATAGATTATGTATGAAGGATCATCTCCCAGCTTTGGTTCAAAATTGCAGCATTGAAATTCGGTACCGGGAATAAAGAATGCATAAATAATGCAGCTTTGGATTAGTAAAGATCACTTCTTTACTAGTAATAAATAATGCAGCATTCTTAGGAAGAATACATTCTTGATCCACTGACAGTTGCTGAAATTCTAAACTTTTCTGATTTAGACTAGACAGGTATGGAGCAATTGAAATTTGCAAACAGAATCAAGCAAATAGTATGTAAATGTGATCGAGATAGGCGAGGTGTCACTTCCAAAGGCCCTCTCTTTCCTTTCCTCTCCCCAGAATGAGACAGTGTCTGACCAGTTAAAACTGAAAAAGAATTTGGAAAACAACTTCAGCCAAACCAACTCTTTCACTTCCTTATCAAGGATTTGGAATATGAGAATTTCAAGAAAAAGAAAAAGAAGAGGGAAGAAGTTCGAGTACCAAAAAGATATTTGTTCTCCTCTTTCCGCATTTTTTTTTCATTTGGGGGCTATATCCTCTTTTTGCCAAGGCTTATTAGTTTTCTCTTTTTACATGGCAAACTGGCAAAGTGTATTAGTTACTCTGCCTGCCCCTTTCCTTCTTTCTGTTGCGCATTGTAACAGTCAAAGTCGTGGTCAATTTGCTTACTTCAAAGCATTATTTTATCAAGTCTCTGTTGAGGGCTTGAGGCCCCTGGTACATGATCTCGTCCAAAGCCGTTGATAATCAAAGACGGGATCTGAAGCTATGATGTTGGAAAAAAAAAACCCAACTTCCTGCCCTAGGCAAGGAAAGTGATTCCTGGCTCCACCAGTAAATCAAGAGATTAAGGTTCCTAAATAATATTAGGAAACATATACGATAGTATAAACTATTACATACTCATTAATAAGAGACTGGCTAAAATAAGGAAGACTAACTAAATGGAAACAACTATGATAAGGAAAGCAGAATAAAAGGAAACAACTAGAATAACTAAAGGGAAATAATTAGGAAAGCTTGTGGACAATGAATTAACTAGGCCCCTTTTATGCCCCTCTGGTACACACGACCAAAACGACGTGTATCAGTTTCATAATTACAGATAATAATGATGAAAAAATTATTCGTTTTCCCTTTGACGTGCTAGTATTAAAAACAAATAATGCATAATACTATTTGTGAAACTGAAAACATTTTTTACAAACAAAACATCAACTGGGCTGATAACTAAACTAACTATGGCTATCAGAAAAAGAAAATGCCACTCCAGCAGGCTCGTGAGCGACACATTTCACAGATCGTTGGACAAAATTACAAAGTACTCCTCAATTCTTTCATCGGATCTCTTATATCATCAACAATAAGCCCCAACGGAGAAGAAACACCCTCCTTTTCAATAGCCATCTTATTCTATATCAAGAAAGTCCCAACCTCCCTCCTTAAGCCAACTTAGAGTGTCCCTAATTCCAATTGCTTTAGCCTCCTTCGCTGAACAATACCCAGCCGAGGACAGGCTCCAGCTGCCACAAACCCCCCAATGGGATTTTTTTGAAGCTTATCTTTTTAGCCGCTGGAATTCGATTAGTTGGAACTCTTGCTTTTATCTAGAATTTATGACATAACTAACAGATCAATACTCGAAAGATATGATAGTGAGGAATAACTTTACTAATCTGTTACTATATGTAAAAGTAGATATTTATGTTGGCATTTATTTGATAATACTAACCCAAACTAAATACATGTTTTGACACCTAGAAGAAGTGAAAAAGTGCTGCATTGTTTAAGTTAAATCATGGCACAAAGTAAATTTTTTTAAAGAAACATTTACATTGTTTTATTAACACCATATATCAGAAGTTTTAATACATCTTACTTAAAGTATTGAAACTACAGAAAAGAGGATTAAACTATCCAACATAAGAGAAAAGAATACTCTAAGCTTATTTTTTTAGCCACTAGAATACGAAAGTGACATTTTAATAAGTGAGTGAATCAGATAAAATTTTAAACATTGGTGACATTCTTTAATCAGATAAAAATGTTTTAATAATAAAAGTGACATTTTTATAACAATTGTGATGACCAGATAGGACCTTGACTTAAATAACAAAAGTAACATTTTTTGTAACAAGTGATAATTATACATATATGACATAAATAATAAAAAGTGAAATTTTGATTTGAATATACGAGTAGTTCTGCGCATAGAGTAAAAACTCATATGGTAAACCTAACTATTAAATAAAATAAGTGAGTATGCTAATAGAGATGGGAAGGTGCAAAGGAATTGCGTGCATGAGCATGGGCCATGCATCATGTTTTACCCGGCCGGCCACGTACTAATGCTAGACACAATAGTGCAATACAACTGATTACATATGAAGAAATATCTTAAATATATGTCCTAGCTACTCCATATATTATTTCTGAAACCAACCACCAAAGACATTCGCACATGGATTCGCAGTGCACGAACTTGGGTTTCAGGCAAATACAAAGTATGACACAAGGTACCTATGGACTACACCCACATGTATTTGTCTTTCCCTTCCAGTCAATCCGTCATTCATGTCAATAATAATACACATACATGCTCACATATTAATACAGATTGACGAACGGTGCTGCGATAATGTGGAGTATATTATACTACATGTAATATTTTACATCTACGTTAATAAAGATTAAAGGATAGAACTACATGTCACTCTATTGTCCTTTCCTTATTATATTCAGCAACACCCATACACGCACCAGCAAGGAAACAAACCCAATACCTTCGACACAACTCACACAAGGCTATATATATATATATATATATATATATATATATATATATATATATATATATATGCAAATTTTTGACCCTTCGTTTTAGCCAGAACCGAGCCTTGAAAACACTTCTGAAACCTCCCTCTTCGTGAGAGGAATCCAATGGTGAAAGAATCGTAGAAAACGGTCGTGAAACGAGAGATATATCACTTGCCGGAGTTCGTCGGGCTTACCGCAATGACGGAAAACGGCAAAGAAGGAGGTGCCGCCGCCGCTGCCAGTCCATCACTGACCTTCGCCGTCCCAGAGGGAGTACACCGCCGATCTTCGCCGTCCCAGAGGGAGTGCACCGCTGCCACTGTTTTCTGCCACGAATGCTCGACGAAGAAGACGACTCGTATGTATACGTATATACTAATTATACTCTACTGTTTACGAAATGTTTTTAATTAAGTTTGGACTAGACTTTGCTAAATTAGTATGGGACCATAATAAAGGCTATATAACAATAATAATGCTAATCGTAGTAGTAATATCAATAATCATAATAACAATTATAAAAAGAAATGGGGTAAGGGATGTTAAGATGAGTACGTATTGGACCAATAAAAGTGATCTAGCTTCACTTTTAATAGATTGTCCCTTTTATATTAAGACCATCAAACATAATACGGGGTAGTAACATTTATGTTATAATTCGAATAGTTTAATGTAGTTTTAATATGAAATTAATACAGGTAAGGCGGAATTAAAATTAGTAACAAGGAGGATTAAGAAATAAAGTGGTAAGATTTATAAAAGTACTTAATTAATAAACTCGAACAGTAAAATAAAAAGGAAAAAAAAATCGGGGAACTTATTACAAAAGGAGTTAGTGACTAATTATGTCATCTTAATTAAAAAGGTGATTATTAGAGACAAGGATAGAGAAGAAGAACTAGGAGCATCAGGAATCAAGCAAGGTAAGTTTCTCTGCCGATCCAAAAATCGTTTCCTCGTATTATATATGTATTATGTGATACATGATTTTAATGTGAGTTATGATGTATATGTACGAGATTTTGAGATTGTTGGATCTGTGATATGTGAGAAGTGAAACTAAATGCTCTTGGGTATTAAATATTTTATTTAAACATTTTGAGGCAGTTTGAGAAATTGAGGAATATTTTGAAGTATATTAATTCAAGATAAAAGAATGATTTCATAAGAGGTAGGCATCTCGGGAGTAATCCGAGGTGTTGGTTTTCCACGTCCCTTAAAATGTGGAGAGTGGTTAGGGCTACTACTAAGAAGAGATTTTTGAGTAACTTTCGGATCGATGATCCCTTTTAAGAAGGAGAGTTGTGGTAGTAGTAGTAGTTCCGACGTAAAAGGGCTGCTACTGCTAAGGGTGAGGATAAGTTTTGAGTGATAATTGGATCGATGATCCCTTTTAAGAAGCAGAGTTGTAGTAGTAGTTCCTAATCATTCAAAGATATCTTATTCAGGGGTAGTTGGTAGACTGAGTCCCGATTACTCGTGACGACTTACTACTCGGAGGGCTTGGAATCCCTTTTAGGGGGTGTGCACACTTAAGGTAGTCGTTTCGTTTCTGCAAGAGCAGTTGTGGTACCGGCACTTGTTCGGGGTGGCCGTCCGTAACCACGGTCCACCGGGCTCAGTCGAAAGGTTGAGCACCGCCCTTCTAAATTACTAGGAAGATAGAGAAGAAGTGAATTTTGAGAAAATCTAAGAGAAGAGTTACTATAGTATTTTCAAAGAAAAGTTGAGGACTTTATTAAAGAAGTGATTTTGAGAAATATCAAAGAGAAAAGGATTTTGGTGGAGTGTGTCATTTTTATATAGTATTATATGAAAAACTATTTTTAGCCAAACATGATTATTTTACGGGGTTGGGTAGTACTTACTTAGCTCTAAAGCTAATTTTTGTTTTCTTTCCTTTGTTTTGTTTTCTGCACTTTATTTGTGCAGGTGATGAGGCTTATGTTGACTGATGATTGCTTGATTCCCGAGAGCGGTTTAGAGATGCCTTAGTCAAACCTAGTCAAGAATTATAATTTAATTATGTTGAACACTTGTTTTACTTTGTTTAGTTTTGTGATTGCCTGTGCATTCGGCCGGTTAAGAGATGACCGGATGTGGCGGTAACACCCATTTCCCAATTAGTGTTATTTCCGCTGCAAAACTTTTTATCTGTTTTGAAAGAATAAATCAAGTTTATTATCAGTAAATCTATTATTTCAAGTATTATTTTGGGAGGGAAAATGGGGGTGTTACAAATTGGTATCAGAGCAATGGTTTTTCTGGGGCATTTTTCAAAGTGTTTTTCCAAAAAGATTTCTTAACAAATTTTTCAAAGGTTTTCTTAAGTAATACCAACGAATTGCTTAAGTAATGTTTTTAAGTAATACCAACGAATTGGTATTAGATATTACGATTTTCAAATTGGGGATTTTCAGGTAAATGTTTTCCTTAAGTGACTATGATTTTTGGAAAGATTTTCTAACATTTTTTTTTTTGAATTCTCTAAAACTCCAATAAGTGATACCAACAAGTTTGTATCAAAGCTTTAATTTTCAAAAACAAAATTTGAAAATTTTCCAATTAAGAAGTGTTCTCAAATGTATCTCTAAGAGCTAATACCGAATTTATTAATTAAATACTTTTCAATAAAAAGAAACTTAGGAATAATAAATCGGATAAAGAAATAATAAGTCTAGGATCGAGTGAGGTTGTGAGATTTCTGAATCCTTATAATTTCCTGAAATAGACTTATGGGCATATTGTCCCTGAAATAGGCTTAGGCTTATTATAATTTTAGGATTATGCTTCAGAGACGAAGCATTGTTTTATGGAGGGTAGAATGTGACACTCCTTAAATTTAAGAAAAGGAATTTGATATAAACCATCATGTTATACTGGTTAAGCGTATTTGTAGACATCTTTCTTAATTAGCTTATGCTTCGGGACGAAGCATCTTTTAAGGAAGGTAGAGTGTGACATACCGAAAAATAAATAAATAAAATATTTTATTAGTCAGATGATGTGTACGAAAGTGACATTTTAATAAGTGAGTGAATCAGATAAAATTTTAAACATTGGTGACATTCTTTAATCAGATAAAAATGTTTTAATAATAAAAGTGACATTTTTATAACAATTGTGATGACCAGATAGGACCTTGACTTAAATAACAAAAGTAACATTTTTTGTAACAAGTGATAATTATACATATATGACATAAATAATAAAAAGTGAAATTTTGATTTGAATATACGAGTAGTTCTGCGCATAGAGTAAAAACTCATATGGTAAACCTAACTATTAAATAAAATAAGTGAGTATGCTAATAGAGATGGGAAGGTGCAAAGGAATTGCGTGCATGAGCATGGGCCATGCATCATGTTTTACCCGGCCGGCCACGTACTAATGCTAGACACAATAGTGCAATACAACTGATTACATATGAAGAAATATCTTAAATATATGTCCTAGCTACTCCATATATTATTTCTGAAACCAACCACCAAAGACATTCGCACATGGATTCGCAGTGCACGAACTTGGGTTTCAGGCAAATACAAAGTATGACACAAGGTACCTATGGACTACACCCACATGTATTTGTCTTTCCCTTCCAGTCAATCCGTCATTCATGTCAATAATAATACACATACATGCTCACATATTAATACAGATTGACGAACGGTGCTGCGATAATGTGGAGTATATTATACTACATGTAATATTTTACATCTACGTTAATAAAGATTAAAGGATAGAACTACATGTCACTCTATTGTCCTTTCCTTATTATATTCAGCAACACCCATACACGCACCAGCAAGGAAACAAACCCAATACCTTCGACACAACTCACACAAGGCTATATATATATATATATATATATATATATATATATATATATATGCAAATTTTTGACCCTTCGTTTTAGCCAGAACCGAGCCTTGAAAACACTTCTGAAACCTCCCTCTTCGTGAGAGGAATCCAATGGTGAAAGAATCGTAGAAAACGGTCGTGAAACGAGAGATATATCACTTGCCGGAGTTCGTCGGGCTTACCGCAATGACGGAAAACGGCAAAGAAGGAGGTGCCGCCGCCGCTGCCAGTCCATCACTGACCTTCGCCGTCCCAGAGGGAGTACACCACCGATCTTCGCCGTCCCAGAGGGAGTGCACCGCTGCCACTGTTTTCTGCCACGAATGCTCGACGAAGAAGACGACTCGTATGTATACGTATATACTAATTATACTCTACTGTTTACGAAATGTTTTTAATTAAGTTTGGACTAGACTTTGCTAAATTAGTATGGGACCATAATAAAGGCTATATAACAATAATAATGCTAATCGTAGTAGTAATATCAATAATCATAATAACAATTATAAAAAGAAATGGGGTAAGGGATGTTAAGATGAGTACGTATTGGACCAATAAAAGTGATCTAGCTTCACTTTTAATAGATTGTCCCTTTTATATTAAGACCATCAAACATAATACGGGGGTAGTAACATTTATGTTATAATTCGAATAGTTTAATGTAGTTTTAATATGAAATTAATACAGGTAAGGCGGAATTAAAATTAGTAACAAGGAGGATTAAGAAATAAAGTGGTAAGATTTATAAAAGTACTTAATTAATAAACTCGAACAGTAAAATAAAAAGGAAAAAAAAATCGGGGAACTTATTACAAAAGGAGTTAGTGACTAATTATGTCATCTTAATTAAAAAGGTGATTATTAGAGACAAGGATAGAGAAGAAGAACTAGGAGCATCAGGAATCAAGCAAGGTAAGTTTCTCTGCCGATCCAAAAATCGTTTCCTCGTATTATATATGTATTATGTGATACATGATTTTAATGTGAGTTATGATGTATATGTACGAGATTTTGAGATTGTTGGATCTGTGATATGTGAGAAGTGAAACTAAATGCTCTTGGGTATTAAATATTTTATTTAAACATTTTGAGGCAGTTTGAGAAATTGAGGAATATTTTGAAGTATATTAATTCAAGATAAAAGAATGATTTCATAAGAGGTAGGCATCTCGGGAGTAATCCGAGGTGTTGGTTTTCCACGTCCCTTAAAATGTGGAGAGTGGTTAGGGCTACTACTAAGAAGAGATTTTTGAGTAACTTTCGGATCGATGATCCCTTTTAAGAAGGAGAGTTGTGGTAGTAGTAGTAGTTCCGACGTAAAAGGGCTGCTACTGCTAAGGGTGAGGATAAGTTTTGAGTGATAATTGGATCGATGATCCCTTTTAAGAAGCAGAGTTGTAGTAGTAGTTCCTAATCATTCAAAGATATCTTATTCAGGGGTAGTTGGTAGACTGAGTCCCGATTACTCGTGACGACTTACTACTCGGAGGGCTTGGAATCCCTTTTAGGGGGTGTGCACACTTAAGGTAGTCGTTTCGTTTCTGCAAGAGCAGTTGTGGTACCGGCACTTGTTCGGGGTGGCCGTCCGTAACCACGGTCCACCGGGCTCAGTCGAAAGGTTGAGCACCGCCCTTCTAAATTACTAGGAAGATAGAGAAGAAGTGAATTTTGAGAAAATCTAAGAGAAGAGTTACTATAGTATTTTCAAAGAAAAGTTGAGGACTTTATTAAAGAAGTGATTTTGAGAAATATCAAAGAGAAAAGGATTTTGGTGGAGTGTGACATTTTTAGAGTATAAAACTTAGAGTATTCTAAGTTTAGAATGCCAATCGAATTCTAAACTTTTTAACTTCCATCCAAAAAATGCCAACTTTCTACGCCATTATCTGTCTGACTGGTATAATGATTTTAAGGAAGACATTTCGGATATTAACTATATTTTGCCTAATATAATTATTTGGAACTTATGGAAAATTAGAAATGCTTTACTCTATGATGATAAAAAAGCCTATCTTCCTGAGGCGATTAAAACTATAAAAACTGAAATCTTTATTATCTCCATTGCGAACCCTATCACCTCTTCTCACCCTCAAACTCCGTTTCCTTTCCACACCATTAGGCCTAAGAAAAACAATTTGAAGCAGGCACAAAATTTCTGGATAAAACCTCCTCCTTCATTCCAGAAAATCAACATAGCCACACGCTCCCTTAGTTCTAATGTTATTAGAACAGCAGCTCTCTTTCGAGATGATGTTGGTAACTATAGAGGTCATATGAGCTTTATTTCTAACACCAATGATCACACCATGGCAACCTATGATGCAATCATTGATACTCTTAAGACCATAAGTGATATGCATCTTACCAACTTTGTGATTGAGGTAGAAAACAGGGACATTTTTGATGGGTTAACTGGTATGAAGATGCAGCATTGGAAGACTTGGACTCGGATACAAGAAGTGAAACGCAAGATACAAGGCAACAATTGGTCCATCACTCACATCCACCCTACTATCAATAGGGCGGCCGAGTACTTAGCCTATAGAAAAATGTCTATTAAAACCAATAATCATCATTTTACTCATTTTGTTGGAATCCTGAAGTTTGATGCCATTAGCTATCCTTATGTTCTCTAATCTTTAGAGTAGGCATTGGTTTGGCCCTCCTACTCTTTGTAATTTTCTTTCTTCCTAATAAATTGGTAGGGTGTTCCCTGGCCCCTACCCCAAAGAATCTTCGGGTTTTTTGGATTACCACCGGGCATTAAAAAAAAAAAAAAAAAAAAAAAAAAAAAAAAAAAAAATAGCCAGAACTCTTGTTTGTATGACGAATTTATGAGCTAATAACTAACAGATCAATACCCATAAGATATGATCTTGAAGAATAATTTTCACTAAAATGTTATTAGCTTCACAAGGCTCGCTCTGTTAAGCTTCACCCAAATTGTATTACAACGTCCTTAATAACCATAAAACATCAATTTCTAGGATCAATCAAGACAAAATACTCAGTATTAACTCATTTATAATACAAAAAGCACTCACTTTTGCAGGTGAAGGCTCACGGCCATTCCAAAAAATATTTGTGTTAATAACACCCAACCCTCCATCTTTACCCTTTCTTATGAGATCTTCTCACACCTGCAATAGCTATTTTTCTTAAATCTTTGTTATAAAAATACGTAGTAATACATATCAATTTGCCAGCAGAAGAGAAGTAACTTTTCTCTAATCTTTCAAATAAACATGAGTATTTGCGACAAATGTCACAAAGAGTGTTGGGTTGGTCGATTCTTTTTTTCTTCCCCCAAATTTCATGCGCCCTGTCCTCTATGGTGAGGATAAATGCCTTCAAATTATCAAATGCAAATTCATTGATTTTATATAGACGCTACATAGATTATAGATTTCATAGGAGGATGGCATGCTATAGATTATAGAGTTGACAAATGAATGAAATCATATAGTCAGGCTCCTTGAAGTAAAGTACCCCGATATAGGCGGCGCACTCTATGAATTGAAACCATCAGCTCCAACTTACTTAGCTCACTTTTATCTTTCCCCGATATAGTAGACCTTCTTCCTTCTCCTCTTACAGAGCACAACAGCGACAAAGAAAGCATTAGGGTAGGAATGATCCTGTCCACCACTTTTCTGTCCGAACAGTGTCCGAACATGGTCATTTGGGGCACTTAACGTGGAATTTTTTGAAGTCTAGTTTATCCATACCAAATTTCAGCTCAAAATTCGATCAGGCATTCAAATCATTTTTTGAAGTTGACTGCGCCAAAATATACGTATAAAAACGCAGTCAACTTCAAAAATGATTTGAATGCCTTCCCGATCGATTTTTGAGCTGAAATTTGGTATGGATAAACTAGACTTCATGAGGAACATGCTCAAAAAAATTCATCAAAAAATTACACCGGGAAGTGTCCCAAATGGCCATGTTCAGACGACGTTCTGACCAGGAGGTGCTGGACCTGAGCACTTCTCACCATTAGGGTAATGGGCATGAGGGGAATGTGATGTACGGAGTAATAAATTTTCAAACGGTAAAATAGAAATTTCACTTTTTTAGATATGGTAATTTCCCAATATATTTTGATGACACATATTGATTGACTGAGTTTGAGGCATTTATTGAACAATATGTGTTATCAATAAAGTTCATCTTATGAATTATGAGAAAATTACTTGAGCTGTATGAAACATTTTTGAGAAAATTACGAGATGCATTAATTAAACCATTCCCAAGTGCATCAGTTATAGGAAAGATGATGAGATATTTCATTCGGGAATGATCAATCAAGGAAACTGGTTTACTAAGACATGAAAATGACGGTTGCATACCCACATAACATAAACAAATGAAATATTTGCAAAAAGATGCTAGCATAGTTCTAATATCTTCAACCACAAGCCCAAATTGCGGGTTTTGTGCTCCTGTTTAAATGCCTTAAACAACCTGTTTTGCCTCCGACTCAAGTTCCACACAATCTCATACAGTGAATTGGTTAATAAAGAAAAATGATGATTTTAGGCACTTTTCTACCTAAATTTCTTAAAACGATCATTTTAATATTTTTTGAAACGACTCCCATACATATACTGGCATATATTAAAGCTTCTACAAATTTCTAGCAATACAAAACTTGCTAATTGCTGTATATTCTATGATCATTACATGTATGCTCTTTACCTTCCTACTACATAGGAGCAGAGGAAATGTTTCTATCTAAGCAGTATTGTGGTAATAGTCCCCACGAAAGCGGGCGTGACACCCTCCTCTTGACATCAGATATATACTCTCTCCAGACATCGAGCACAAGCCCGAGGTCGCGGATCTTTTTTTCCAGCCCGACGCAACAGTTGGCATGGACAGTAATGACAAGGTTGAGGTCATCGCTGAGCTGACAAAAACCGCTGTAAAACACCGTCGGCAAGAAGGTAATCTGGAGGCCGATCTCTGCAATGAAGGGATGAAACTTTATGTTGTTGAGCACGTCTTGGTCATGACTGCCTGGGTAAAGATCTTTTGAACTGTACCAGAATTTGTAGAACTGGACTGTCCTCCTACTTGATTTAACATAATTGAAGCCTCCATTGGGCTTGTTGTTTAGGTCCGATGAGTTGGAATTGAAAACGTCACATGCGATTTGGAATTCCGAGTCGGAGTGAAAACGTGAAAATGGATTTCGAAGCCACATTATGTCGGTATCCGTAAACACAAAGTTGTATCCCTTCTCCAAAATATGTCTAAGAAAGTCAATCCTTGCCCACATCATCTCCAAATACTTGGAACTCCTAAACTGTGCTTCACCCGTAAAGTTAACGCCATTCGTGGGTAGAGCATAGCAATAAGAATGTACTTCCATACAGCGAGAATAGGCTGTCTGATCGAAAGCCACCACAAGTAGATGATCCAAAAGATGGAGCGTTTGGTTCCCGATTCTAAAGCTCTCCAGAAAAAGATCAAAAACAGAGTTTGGAGATGTCCATGCTGCATTTAAAGTTGTGATGATAACAGTTCTATCAATAGAAGCTGCCTTTTTCAGCATTTTCTCCAACTCATCTTCTCCTTCCTTGGTGGTTTGGGATGCATCAACAGGAATGGCAGCTGGGGCTGCTGAGGAAGAAGCCTCATTCGGGAAATGTTTATGGCCTAGTGGATTTGGAGATATGCCTATATAGCCTGCCCAATTGTAAAGCACTAGAGATGAAAGGCTAACTACCGAAAATATGAGAACAAGCAAAACAGCTTCAAAACGAAAGTTATGAGCTTTATTATGGTGGTTTTGATGGGCTTGGTACCGTTCATACTCATTCAAATCCTCGACAGGTTTTCTACCACTCCCAAGGTTCATCATCTTCTCAAGCTAAACTTTTGGGTATAACCAAGGCCTCATTATTTAATCAGTATCAAGATCTAACTACAACCCACATAATTCCAAACTGAAAATATCTCAAGACAAACATTGGATCACTTTGGGTTATTTCGTCGAACGATTGGCGTGCAGAATTTGGCATATTCATATAGGAATTTCAACGGACGGGAACATAATTTCGTACATTGAACAGAACTTCGTATATTGCTTGACTTCTCACAGTATTGTGTAAGGGCAAAATCATCGATGACTGTGCACATTATTTACCCTTTAATTCTGTTCCGGCATGAATTACGGATTAATTGTCTGTCGTTGTGTGTTGTTGAATAATAAAAAAAGGAAAAATTGAAGTAATAATCCCAACTATTGACAGTCCGCTCATAATAATCTTAACTAATTATTATTTCAGAATAATCCCAACTTTAGGGACTTTCCGCCAATAATGGTCCGATATGACCGACTATAAACAAATTCTTGTAATTTCCAAAGTGGATGAGAAGAGATATATCAAGTAATCCCTATAAATAATCTCAACTTTTAATTTTACGCTTAATGTTTATTTAAATTTGAAGGTAATATCGGGTCATGGACCATTATTGGCAGACGGTCCATATAGTTGGGATTATACAAAAATAATCAATAGTTGGGATTATTATTAGCGGACTGGCAATAGTTGGGATTATTATTTTCATTTTTTCCTAAAAAAATAGTGACTAAAAAGATTTTAAAAGAAAAATATAGTAGTTGTGTGATAAAAAGTTGACTGTTTGATTTAGTTTTGTTTGATATGCAAGTTGTTGAGGCTAATTAGTGGAGTACTAAAAGCTACTCCCTCCGTTCCGGAAACAAGTTCCCATTTTCCTTATTTGAATGTTCCAAAATAAACTTCTCATTTCTTTATTTGGCAAATTATCTACAATCAAAACAATGCTAAACAATGTCAAACAGTGTCGAAACAGTGTCGAAACAATAAAATTTACCTATCAATAAATTTATTTCCTAAAAATGTGCGAAAGTCAACACGGGAACTTGTTTCCTAGACGAAGGTAGTACAAACAAACTTTTCTCAGATGCTAGTCAGTGTAGTGTCTTAAAATAGATCTTTTATTTAAAAAAAAACTTACAAATTATCATGACAAACATGAACTTGAAGTTTTTAGACACTTTTAAAATGTACAAAAATTAAAATGTAAAAACTTATGCTTACCAAACTTAGAAGAAACGTGTGATGGGTGAAGTTGTTAATTCATCACCCTCCTTTGTTGTCACATTTCTTCCTCTACTAATTCTTGAGAAAATTGTTCTTGATGTATGACTAAAACATACAATAACATTCTTTCAAAAATATGATCATAAGTTTGATTTTCTTTTAGGAAAAATTGAAAATAATAATCCCAATTATTGTCGGTCCGCCAACAATAATCTCAACTATTGATTATTTTTGTATAATCCCAACTATATGACCGTCCGCCAATAATGGTGCATGACCATATATTACCTCTTATAACAAGTGAAATTTAAAAAGAAATTAAGCGTAAAATTAAAATTTGGGATTATTTATAGGGATTACTTGTTATATATTTTCTCATCCACTTCAGAAACTACATGAATTTATTTATAGGGACCATTATTGGCGGAAGGTCCCTAAAGTTGGGATTATTCTGAAATAATCGATAGTTGGGATTATTATGAGCGGACCTTAGGATTATTACTATAAATTTTTCCTTTCTTTAAATGGCACTAATCATTCTTTACGTTTTCCCAATTTTTCCGTATAATTTCCTTCTTTTGCTTTATTAGAATAGTTTATTTTTTTATCAAAGTTGATTATCGTTGACCAAGAAAAATCAATTTGGCGAATCTTTTCAGGACGGATGGAGTATAACTTATTTTTGCTTGATTGAAAGACGTTTCGACTATAATAAGTTTGCATTAATTGAGAAACTTTATTTTTTTTAAGTGAGCAATGTCATAATATATTCATCACATTTAAAGTTCGCTTTTCATGTTTTGATGCGCTTGGAGTTGATTTTTATTTTCTTTTATTACTCCGTAATTAAAGATTCAATGTGGACATCACCTTCTTTTTCCGCCGCATGACCTGCTACGAGTTAGGACTCTTCCTGCTCTTTGGTTTGACTTTTGCTTATCTTCTCTTTTTTGTTTTCTTTGTATACCGGAGTAGCTCCGTTTACTTTTACTTTTTCTATTTTGTCTTTTTCTTTTCTTTTTTGGTTTCTTTTTTTTGGTTGCTTTTACTTATTGTCTTATTCTTCTTTTTCTTGATATTTTCTTTAACATGTTTTTTACTTTATTTTTATTCAATTATAATGAAAATACATTATATAAAATATTATTTAGTGTTTGAGTTTGTTTTTTCTCTTTCCAATCAATCTTCTAATTTCAGTTTTTTAAATTTGTATGTGCATTATAAAATATTTTAGGTATTAATGTTTTGTTTTTCTATTTTAAATTTTAAGATGAATATTTATTACGGAGTATTTTAGTAAATATTTTGTGTTATTGCTGACATGAGTTTTGTTTTATACTAAAATGAGTATAGTGTAAAATAAATGCGCATTAGTAAATATTATAAAAACAACAAGTTTGTATTTGTAAATCAAGAACAAAAGACTATAAACTATTTTTAATAAAATGTTTTTATATTTCTCATTGTTATATATAATGAAAGTTTATTATATTGTTATATATAATGAAAGTTTATTATATTGTTAATAACGAACCTATTAGAAGTACATATTATACAAATGAGTTTATGTTATACTACGTATTCGAATCAGTACAACGATTAAAAGAAATGAGCATACACAAATTAATATGCTTTTGAAATTTTTTATGCTTATTTTTAGGGCTGGTTCGGTATGGCATACCGAAAAATTTGTGCCATACCGTATACCGTACCGAAATACCAGTATATGAAAATGGCATACCGTTGCCGTACCGAAACCTCGGTATACCGAAATTTCGGTAACCTCAAATGGCATATTGATGCCGTACCGAATATTCGGTATATTCGGTATACCGAAAAACAAACGGTATACCGTTTGTCTAATGAAATGTCAAAATAAAATCTCATAAACTAAAAAACTATTACCAAAAACCTGCAATATCATTGACTTCCATGTTACGGATCTAAAAACCTAGATATTTACATAGGATTGTACTGGGGAGTAACTGAGAATTGGAGTTTGGAAGAGAATGAGATGATTGAGATTCCATTCTACTTCTGAAATCAAAATAAATCATTAGTTTGTGAGACGTTAAACAACCATATATATTATATCAATATATCTATATAATTAATATGACCTGCAATAAAGATTTTAATACAATCATACTGAGAATTGGAGTTTTGAAATATGCCTTTGCAATCATTTTTTTTTGTGAACTTGTTGAGAAGTATCCATCTTAGGCTGGGGCGCTAAATTACAATGATAGGAACATAAGAATTACAATTCATTCATCCCATAACAGTCCTTAATACATACTACACATATACATGGAGTCGATTATCAAAGAACTAAATTAAGAATGTGTCACCAATTCCAGACTCCATCTTGATACTAATGAATAATCTTGATATTAAACATTGAGGTTTATGGGACTAGAAGAACGATATGATCTCAATCAGGTAATTGAATGAACTAAACCATAACAAAACCTTATTTCCTCCCCCTGGTTAATCCTCTGGAGGTGAAAGTTGATGCTTCCTGGAGACTTTCTACAGTCTGTAGAATAAAACAGCAACAAGACAACAATATTAGTTAAGCTAATTTCCAATACCCAATCATACAGTCACACACTGCTGAGTGTTTAAATGAATAATAATATGTTCATTTGATTGTAAGTTGACTAAGTTCTAAAAAAATCATTTTTCTGGCACTTGAAATTCAGAACTTTGATTCAATATTCTTTTTTCCTAAAGTATAATAATTTTTTGGTAAATAAACAGAACTAGTAGTGTTATGCAAGTCATTATGTAGCCAATGAAAAGGCCATGGAAAACAAAAAATTGAACTTTTTTCAGTTTGGCAAGCAAACGGGTCAACTGGGGTAAAAGTAAACTGTAAAAGTATTGCATCCATTAAAGAAGCTAACGAAGCTATCAGAAAGCAAACTGCAAACAATTCAGAAAGTGGAAAGAACCTAGAAACAAAGAGAAAATATGAGGTATCTATCAGACGGCTTACAAAGAAAATACAATGTAGCAACCTATCCGAAATCAATATATGCAGTTCATTCATTACAATTTACAAATGAGTTGATCTATAAATCATCACAGATTCCAACTTAGACCAAATATTATAGAAATAATATTAAAAGATGCAGATGTAGCCTAGAAATGCTAGTAAACTACTCAAAAGAACCGACATTCTAATCACTCAAATATTCAAATCCTCTGCTGTGCACCTGTGCGCTATATTTTTGCAGAGATACGCTTCAAGGGTTATGTACAAGAAGCAAGAGAAAAGCATGTTTCCATATTAGAAATCAGAAGGAGGTAATTGATGAATACCTTTTCGTAGTTTTCAAGAAGAGCAAATAGATGGAACTGAGAAGGCCTAATTTTTGTTCGTTCAACCCATTGGTCTGTCCGTGCCTGTAGGCTGCCTCTCGGGGTCTCGGCCTCTCCGATGCTTCAATTCTTCAAGAATATTCGTCGCCAAGAGCCCGGTATTGGAGAGTGGAGAGTGAAGACTTCTCTGAAACTGTGAAACCCTATCTCTTCTTCGACTCTTCCAGTCCCGTTCTCCGCAGTTCCACAGTTCATAATTTCCCATAGGGCGACACAGCTCGTTTGGACTTTGGAGAATGAATTTTGGGCCGAACTGGGCTAATACTCTTATTAGTTGGGTGTATAGGGTTATTTTAGATTGAGGCAGTGGGTTGTTTTTTACTAAAGAGGCATAATGAATAAGTATATGTAATAAATAAATAAATATACAGTATATTACGGTATTTCGGTATACCGAAAATATATACGGTATATACCGATACCGTACCGAAAAAGTTTGGTACGGTAACATACCTTACCAAAATTTACGGTAAGGAAAAATTTCGGTAAAATCTGTATTTTTCGGTACGGCAAGAGCGGTATTTCGGCCGTTTCGGTATTTTTCCCCAGCCCTACTTATTTTATTAAGTTATGTAAGCTCATCTTGTTACGATTAGGTTAAGTAAAACGATAAATTAAGAGCAAGAACACAACAATTTACGTGATTCTGCTAATCCACGGCGAACGAGAGAGAGCTGAGTATTATTATGTCGGCGTCAGAGGTTTACAAGTACATTAGGGTGTTTAAATAGGTTTAAGAAGACCTAAATACAGATTAGAGCAGCAGGCCCTGATTAAGCCCATAATTTAAAAAATTCGTTCCGTATACCCGGTCGGGTACCCTCCTGTACCCAGTCGGGTATCTCCTCAGAAAGCATGCCCGGGTCGATACCAGGGCGGGTAACCAAAACAGAAGCTAAAACCTTCACTGACCCGGTCGGGTAAATCTCCTTACCCGGTCGGGTATCACGTTCCAGTGAGTCCTCAGGTCTGGGCTTCAACATACCAAGTCGGGTAACCCAACGTACCTGGTCGGGAAACTGCTCTAATAATCTGAACAAGACTCCATCTTCAACAATCTCCCACTTGGAGGCTTGGTCAACAATTATCTGCCATCCAAGAACATACATCTTCTGTAAAACCCCTGATCTTTCTCTCGTTCACACCTTCTCATCAAGTATCTGGAAGGCCAGTTGAAGCCATGCATAGCTTCAACTTCTCCGTTGTCACCACCTTGGTAAGCATGTCTGCTGGATTCTTCGTACCAAGGATCTTCTTCAAGTTTATAGTACCATTCTCAATCAATTCTCGAATGAAATGATACCGCATCTTGATGTGTTTCGTTCTGCTGTGAAACACCGGATTCTTCGCAAGATG